TTCAGAAATAATCAAATATATTTAATAAAATCCAATAAAACTAGCAAGTGTGTTGGCATCATAGATGACCCATTATTTATGATTATTTTCAAAGAACATCAGAAGAATTCATTAATTTCTAAGTAATATCTGCTCAAAGAGGATGACATTTCTCTGAATGAATCACGACTTATGGAACACACTAAGTAAAAATGTGTCGCATGTGTCGTGATTTGCGATACATTAAAGTGTGACATGAAGAGCTCACTGCAACACATTTTCTCCAGCAAGACCATGACACATTTTGTACGACACATTTCCTATTGGTTCTTTTGAAAAAGCATATTTCAATTTTTTTTTCAATTTAATTCCATTTAATTATTTCTATTATGAAAACTCAAGCAGGTCAGATCCTGAGTTGATCCGATTTGTACCACACCGCTTCAGGGTAGTCCTCTCTCGATCATGGATTGAGATTAGCAATTTCTCGACAAAAAAATTACCGAGAAATAATCTAGAAAAAACGAATATTTTGAAAATTTATCTTTCGTACGTTCAACCGCGTTGTTTATATGTCGCAATGTGTGCATCACAAAACGATGAACGAATAGTCAGCAGAAAGAACACGACAAATTCGTATACGACACATTTTTGTGCTGGAGTGCCCAACACAATAATTCACGACACATAAACACGACGCATTTAAATTTAGTGTGAAAGTTTCGAAATAGATTTAAGTTGAGATGATATATCAATTAGTTTCGAGTTTGGTATCATGCGTCAAATTCTCTATTCTCTGCTCATTCAACTTGACAACGAAACGCAAACATTTTTTCTATGAAAACTGATGCAACATACTGGGAGGTGGAGGGGTACGTCTCGAACCAAATACTCCACCAATAATAATACCAGCGATACAGACCATAGTAACCAAAATCAATTCATATATTGTTCGTTTCTTCTTGTACCAAGGTAGTTTTTTCTTCTCAGGCGGATAGAGATGAGCACCTAAAACAAACGAATTCAAATATTCGTTCTTACTTTGACGCTTTGTTAAGTTTGCCTTTAAATGGGGGTTCGAGAAGAGTCTCGATTGGTATTATTTGTTTTAAATGAATGATATGGAGATCAGGTGCCGGATTAAACAGCGATTGAACTTCCATTTGTGTACCAGGTAAAAGAAGAATTTCATCTTC